CATGAAGAATATTTTTCAATGAGCAAATTTTATAAATTTCATCTTCAGTCTGAGCAAATAAAATTTATAAAAAATTTTTAAAAAATTCTGTAATTTATTTTTCTTTTCAAATGTCAACCAAAATAGCAAACTCTCTAACATAATACATTATCAAAAATTTTTTTTAAAAATTAAATATACCTAGTTTGCAATTTTGGCTGATATTTAAAAAGAAAAATAAGTTACGGAATTTTTAAATTTTTTTTATAAGTTTTAATATGCTCTGATTGAAGATGAAATTTATAAAATTCGCTCATTGAAAATATTCTTCATAATGTGAAATATTTAAATAATACGTTTTATCCAGAGCCAAGCAGTGTTTCTAATAGAAATCTAAAACAAAAATTCAAATGACATTTTATTTTTGCCATCAAAGTGTAAAACGACACTGTTTTTTTAGACAAAGTGTCACAGAGTGTCCAAGATGTGGATCATTAGAATTAGATTAAAAAAGAGAAATATTTCATATGTTTTTATTAATATTGGATTCGAATCAAATACATACAAAAAATACTATATAATCACGTCAGATAAACAAATAAATTATCCACTATTTCATACATGAGTTATAAAAAGAATGAAAAAGCAATCAAACGAAAAAAAAACATTATTTTACTATACAATAACAAAAAAAAACAATTTTATATTTACTCAGTCATTAACATCTTCACTTTCATATTCTTCTTCAGTATGCATGTCCTTATGGTCATTGCAAAACCACATAAGATCAATTGATATACCAAGTTTAATGCGACAACTATTGCACAGCCACCGGGAACAGTTCTCAAATGAATCCACCCAGTCAAATTCGTCGTTTTGATAACAGCATTGGATTGCTTCATTTTGTGCGGGATCATCTGCTGAAATTTCATTTTTACATCTATTTGCGCCTAGAATAATGAAAAAGAGATTTTGATAACTCAACAATAACTGAAAAACTTACACTTAATTGCCTTCGACTTTGGATTCTTTGGTTTTTTGTTAATTGGTAGGGATGGCATTGACGATCGTTTTCTCTTAGAATCAGTCGATCGGCTTGCTTTCACTGGTTCATAATCAGGTGGTACATCAAGTACTAGCTTAATTTGACGAAAACGACGATGATATTCATTATCATTCCACGATTCGAATGCTCTCTCAATAACCTTTTGGCATCGTGGACTAAATGCAAAAAGATAATACGAGAGTAGTTTCTCATGCTACAGCAATCGACAATTTCACCTTCTCAGATCATCAGGTAATAATAAACACACGTTCATTAGTACATCCAAAGTCGAAATTAATATTCGTGAACGACCAGTCGTTTGGATACGATTGACCGCCGAAAACTAAAGCACATGGATTTTTTAAATATATTGCTATGGGAAAAGTAGATTTACAACTTACGCCTCTTTCACACTCAACCGAATTCGTTGGCATAATCAAATAAATACTCAATAAAGCAAGCAAATTCTTGTTCTCCTCGAGGAATCGGCTATTTGTTGCTTGTTTTAATAATAAAAATTGTTGCCAAAATGTTTCCTTTAAATCAATTGATGAGGGTCTATCCAAAAATTCACTCAATGATGGTTTCAATATTTCCCATTCACTTCGAACAGCATCTGTATCAAGTCCAGGAAAATCTTTATACTTATTTCGAATAAAATCTAATTCTGGTCGTCCATAATCTGGAGAATCAACATCTTTCTTGTGCTCAATCAAGTATATTGGATCGAATAGCATGGTCATACTTTCTAGTAAACGTGATGGAGCAAATCGTTTATCTAATTCTATCAGCAAACGTTCTATATGTGCAGAGCATTCTTTAGCCAATTGTTGTCGATCGGATAAATCAATTTTAAATGCACCATATTTTCTTTTTTCTGTTGTTTTAATAAAATCAGCCAATGCTGATCCCCATGTTGGTGTTGATTGAGATGTCCATTGTGATATTAAATTCTTTTTTTCTTTGATTTCTTTCATAAGACTATAGTATGACAATTTGTCGAATTGCATTAGTTTTGTAATTGGTCCTAATGTGCAAGTTCGGGAAAACTGTAAGCTGAATAATTTGACTTTAGCTTACCAAGAGCACACTCGTGGAGATCGTAATGAAAATGGAGAAGAAATAGAAATTCATCATTCAATACATACTGAAATAATTCTTTTGCTGAACCACGATCACCACTTGAGGAAACTGGATCAGATGCATTCTGTTGGAGGGCTGCTAGTAGTGCTTGATTACCTAGAAAACAAGAATTTCATCAAAAATTTGTGTTAGAATCAATAAGATCTTCGTTACCTGGCTGCACATTTTGGATAATCGGTTTAATACAACCTCTAATAGAAGCCCAACGAATATCATAAATACGTTTAAATTTCAATTCAGGCATATCTAAAAAATTCTGCCATTCTTTTAACATTTGTTGACGAGTTGAACTTCTTCCAAAATAATTATAAATTTTTCCAATAGTTGTTTCTAATTTTGAAACAACTTCAATAATAACTAGTTTACCACTTTCTAAAATTAAATGTTGGAAATAAAGCAATGAAACTACTGCTTCGAAACAAATTTAAAATATTACTAGGATCAGTTGTCCACGATGCTCGATTACCAACCAAACAAAATGAATGTGCAGCACAGGTATTAGTTTCAAGCCAATCTATTTGGAAATGGCGTCGTAGTTTTGCTACTACACCTTCGTTGATTCGTGCAATGAGTAAAAAATTATCAGAATCTATTTGTTTTAGAAGATTTAAAAGCACCTGTAAATGTCGAGACATTGTCACATGCAAACCAACATGAATTCACCGGATTTAAATCATCTTTTCTCCATACATCACTAATTGTTTCAACTATGTTTCTTGCCGTTCCATCACCTTCCATATCCAGCAAAGCATAATATGATGTTTTTGGATGATAATTTTCGAGGTACCGAACATAGACGATGCAACTTTTTTCCACCGTTCGTGATGTCGATTCATCCATCATCCATGCTTAATAAAATGAAAACAATCAGAACAGAAAATCGATAGAAGATCTACAAACCGATTGCGGGACTATTTTTTACTTTTTCGATCAGTTCCTCGTGCACATCATATGCAACATGTTGAAGAAAAGATAAAGCTGCATCGTTATTTCCGTAATTTACTCCAGATATTTGAGATGGTAATAATTGAACGCCTAGTTTTTCAAGTAATATGCACAATTGTTCTAAACTATTTAATGATTGATATTCACGACAAATATAAATTGAAGCAAGAGTTAAATTTTGAACTGCTTGCTCTTGTTTTGAGATCTGTTTTGCTCGTGTTTCAATCCATGTTGGTTGCGTTCGAGTTGAAATTTTTAATTCGGTTTCTTCAGCATGACGGTGAACCTCACTTTTATGCTTGTGTTCTTTTATTTTATAAATTTGAAATATTTGATTTCCTACAGTACACTAAATGTTTTCTTTACCTAAAACAAACGAATAACTTCTATGAAATATATAACATATTTAACTCACCATTTGTATTTCTTCTTTTACCATGTTTTTCACATAGAGAACATCGCATTGCATTGTCCTTCAAATACAATCACGATAAAAAATTTTCTCGTCGTTCACCGAATTGATCGAATACATAAGTTTTATACATAGCATCTGGTTGCTTTTCCCAAACAGAAAGATATTTACGACGAACAACATTACTTGATTTTTTGTTTAACTGCGATTTGTTAGAATTTTCTGGTTGAATCGAAGAAGACATATCATGATTATCAAGAATATTTGATGATGAATATGGAGATTCACTCGAAATAATTACAATTTCATTGACTGGTTCATCAAGCATACATGATGGTATAGATTCGGATGAACATGATGATGCAGAAATATGTTGTTCATTTTAGTGCGATACTAAAATATTCATTGGTGGTTTTGGACTTTTATTCCAAAACTCAATCAATTCGATTTGTTTTTTGTTCATTTAACCTAAAAAAAGTAGTGACTAATTTCAGAAGAGCTGAGAAAAAGAAATAGTATCATACTTACGAATTCTATGTTTAAAAATCAATGGTTACGAGACAGTAATGTACATATATTGTCGAAAAAACCAGAGCAAAGACAATACAACAACAATAACAATAATTGATAAATTCAAATAATAGTAACAACAATTGATAAATTCATATACCGATGACAACAATCGGTAGATTTAAATAATAATAACAATAACAATAGATGAATTTAAATAACAATAACAACAATTGATAAAGTTTAATAATAGTAATAACGATTGATAAATCTTAATATTGTAACAATAATGGACAAATTCAAATAACAATAGTAACAATTGATAAATTTTAATATAGTAAGAACAATTGATAAATTCAAATAACAATAACAGCAATCGATAAATTTAAATAATAATAACAACAACAATAGATGAATTCAAATAATAATAACAACAATTGATAAATTCAAATAATTGTAACAACAATTGATAAATTTTAATAATTGTAACAACAATCGATAAATTTTGATATAGGGACCACAATTGATAAATTCGAAAAAACAATAACAACAATCGATAAATTTGAATAATAGTAATAAGAACAATGGATAAATTCAGAAATGCGTTCACGAATAATACGATTAATCTGAAGATGTCAGAACATGAAATACATCCAGATTAATAAAAAAATTAAGGAGTCCAAAGTTTACATACAATGAATGGAAAAATAAAAAAATTTTCAGCAAGTGTCAACTTGACACTTTGTTTTCATGAGTAAAGTGTAAAATAGAGTGTCAAATCAATATCGCAAGGGTCTTGGACACTTTGATATCATGGTGGACCCTTGCTGTTAAAAACACTGGAGCCAAGAAGGCATAGATAGCTCCAGTAGCTGAAAACGTTTCTAATAAATAAATATTTATATTTGATCTATTCTATTATATTTAATAACTAATTTTAAATGTTATTTTATATCAATTTTTTAGTTCATTTGAATGATGAACTTTGTTTTGAGACGACGAATTTATAATAGCTTGATATGAAACAATTTGCAAGTTTACCATCTGAAAAAAACACCATAGTCTTGTGTTATAAATAAAAAAGATCTTCAGTTTCATCAATATCTATATATTTGTAAAACCATTTCAGACTTAATGCAAGATCAAAACAAAAAGGGCGCAAAAACAAACAAATATTTCATCTTAATAAAATAAAAAACGAATGTTTCATCTTAATACAATAAAAAACATGTTTCATCTTAATATAATAGAAAACAAATATATCATCTCAATATAATATAAAACAAATATATCATCTTAATATAAAATAAAACAAAAATATAAATCTAATTGAAGTCATACCTGCATATGGTTAATTACTATTTCCTTTTGAGTTTTCAATAAGCATTAAAAGTAATTTATGAGTAGGCCAATGATTGAGATTCATATATACAATAACAAGAAATGCTAATATTTTATGTAGACCGGTAATACCAATATGAATATACATTTTATATGGCAAGTTTTTTATAAACATAAAGGCTTTTTCAACACCTGATTTAGCAGATGGTACCATTAGAACTCCAATTTGAGGATGAAAATCAGATAATCCATTCTAAATAGACAAGAATCAAAAGTATAGTTTAAAAGATTGTAATTATTTTACTTTAAAAATTATATTTGATTCATCAAGATCATTACATAATTTTTGTATCGCTTGAAAATCTCTTTCAGTCAGCTGCATTGAAAAAGTTATTGAAAATAATCTGATTAATGTAACAAAGATACTTACAAAATGTTCATTTGAAATTGAATATTTACGAATATATATATCAAGTAATGTACGAGCTTCATGTTCAAGTTTTTCATATGAAAATAATTTATTTTTTATCAATGAATATTCATAAATCAACTGAAACAGAAATTGAAATGATCATAAATTATTTAGTTAACTTGAAGCAACGTGAAAAACAACAAGAATAATGAAAAGAGACGAGTAATGAAGACAAAGAATACAAAAACACAAAAAACGCTTGTGAAGAAAAAAAAATTTACTTACTGCTTCTTGGTGAAATATCTCTTGATGTTGAACAACTTTCAAACTAAATTCTGCATCTTTCTTTTCTAACAACATTTGTCGTCTTAATTTGTGAGTGCTTCGGAGAAGTACATTGATTTCCGTGATCGATATATTTTGTGAAGCTCTACCTTTTGGTTTCACGATAAATCGAAGACGATGTATGTCTCTATCATATGCATCTTGTTCAGATTTTGATATCTTGAAATGCCACATAGATTCATCATTTGACAAAGTTACACGTTCATCAACATTATCGTTTGAAATTGCTATAAAAGAAGATTCTTTATTGAAAAAGAAATTAAGAAACTCACTGAAAGTATGATTTGAGTCTTGGTTAGTTGCTGTTGATGTTGTATTTTTTGATGTTGCTGGAATACTATTACTCATTTTTTTCGCTGCTAAAATACAATGAATTCGGAAATACTCATAAATAAATTAGATTTTGTTTCATCGCAATATCTCGTGGTAATAAAGCTTTATGCACGGCCACAACCGGTTGTGCTGGTACTGAAAATATTAAGAAATATTAGATTTGCATGGCATATAAATGCGTTTTATAATTTAACATTCGACAGAACTTAATATTGATGCCTTGGGAAGATACTTGAAAGCTTTTGACACCTAATGGCATTCAATATAGGTAAGAAACTTCTAATAGTTTAACCTCATGAAGCTCTATCTGTCTCTGGTTTTTATTTATTTGGAGTGGAAGTCGCTGAAAGCTAAAGACAATTTTTGAAGTTCTACAAAGGCTTCCAAACTGATCTTTCATGGCTGACTAAACCGTTTCTCTATGCTTTGAGTAATTCTTCAAAAAAATCCAATTCTCTGATTGAAAGTTATAAAACACGTGTGATGATTATTTCTCTGGAAGACTGACATTTTCTTTTACTGGTAACAATTTTATATAATAAATTTTCAAGATATATAAAGTGAACTAAAGAGGATACTTTCTCTTTGAAAGATAATTCATATAAAAGAAAATTTTTCTGAAGTGAATTATAGTGATTCATGACAGGAGGAACGGAAAGGACTATTTTTTT